CGTTATAGGTGTATCACTGGAGGCAGCACCTTCAGTCAAACCCCAACACCAGTAATTCACCACAAATTCATCATCCTGTTTCACAAATGCCAGATACAGTAAGGCAACCTAACGTTGATCAACACATCAGTCTAAATACTCTAGTAGTGACAAGAAAAACATACCTGGATTTTATGTAGATTTTCCTTAGCATCATCTACAAGTTGTTGCCATTCAGTCTGTTCCTGGCATTCACTGGCATCCACAGAACTCAATGCCAGTTTCTCCAATATATGATTTGACTTGACCTTGTAAACAAGCTGTAATATAAATATGCCACATCAAGCAATGTGAACTACAATAATACCTGCGGATGGCTTATTCTCAGAGAAAGCTGAGTGAAATAAACTACTGTGAAAAAGGGGAATCCTCATGCGCTCCAGGAATAAGATTTAAAGAAAGTAACATTCAGATATCTGAGAGGTGAACCAGATTATTAGCAAGTAAAGGAACCATTTCTGTTGAGTCCTTACAAAACATGTCAAGCAGTACACTTACTAAGAGCTTTATATGAGCTAAGATATGGAATCTAAATATCCACCAACAGATAAGTGAATAAATAAAATGTGGTATATTTGCACAATAAAATATTGTTCAGTCTAGAAGCTGGGTGTAGTGCCAGCCTGCTCAGGAGGCCGAAGCAGGACAACCATTTGAGCCCGGGAGTTCGAGTCCAGCCTGGGCAACATGGTAAGACCTTATTTAAAAAAAAAAAAAGAGGGAAAATCTGTCATTTGCAACAACAACATAGATAAACCTGAAGGACATTACGCTAAGTGAGATAAGTCAGACACAATAAAAAAAATACTATATGATCTCACATGTGAAATCTTAAAATAGTAAAACTCATAAAAGTAGAGAGTATAGGCTGGGCATGGCGGCTCACGCCTGCAATCCCAGCACTTTGGGAGGTTGAGGCAAGAGGATTATTTGAGGTTAGGAGTTTGAGACCAGCCTGGCCAATATGGTGAAACCCCGTCTCTACTAAAAATACAAAACTTAGCCGGGCATGGTAGTGGGTGCCTGTAATCCCAGCTACTTGGGAGGCTGAGGTAGAATTACTTGAACCTGAAAGGCGGAGGTTGCAGTGAGCAGAGATCGTGCTACTGCACAACAGAGTAAGACTCCATCTCAAAAAAAAAAAAAAAAAAGTAGAGAGTAGAATGTTGATAACTAGAGCCCAGGGGAAGGGGCTAGGGGATACAGAGATGTTGTTCCAAGGCTGCAAAGCTTCAGTTAGAAGGAAGAATGAGTTTCAGAGGTCTGTGACGACTGTAGTTAGTAATAACGTATATTTTAAAATTGCTAAAAGAGCCAGGTGTGGTGGCTCACACCTGTAACGCTTGCATTTTGGGAGGCCGAGGCAGGTGGATTTCCTGCGCTCAGGAGTTCAAGACCAGCTTGAGCAACATGGCGAAACCCCGTCTCTACTAAAAATACAAAATATTAGCCAGGCATGGCGGTGCGCATCTGTAATCCCAGCTACTCAGGAGGCCGAGGCACAAGAATCACACGAACCTGGGAGGTGGAGGTTGTAGTGAGCCAAAATCGCACCACTGCACTCCAGTTTGGAAGACAGAGCAAGACTCTGTCTCAAAAAAAATAAAAAAATTGCTAAAAGAGTAACTTTTCTTGAGTCTCAGTTTTTCTTGTTTGTAAAATGGGAATATTAGTACTTACCCTATATAGTGTCATGATGCATGTAAATGCTACTTCTTAGGTTATGATAATTTAAAAAAGACAATTCATATAAATCTCTTTCTTCGGTTGATAATAATCTTATATACTTGGCCGGGTACAGTGGCTCACCTTTGTAATCCCACACTTTTGGGAGGTCAAGGTGGGTGGATACTTGAGGCCAGGAGTTTAAGACCATCCTGGCCCAACATGGCAAACCTGTCTCACTAAAAATACAAAAACTAGCTGAGCATGGGTGGTGGATGCCTGTTGTCCCAGTTGCTCTGAGGCTGAGGCAGGTGAATCGCTTGAATCAGAAGGCGGAGGTTGCAGTGAGCCAAGAATGCACTAGTGCCCTCCAGCCTGGGTGACACAGCAAGACTGTCTCAAAAAGAAAAATAAGGGCTGGGCACGGTGGCTCACGCCTATAATCCCAGCACTTTGGGAGGCCAGGCAGGCAGATCAACGAGGTTGGGAAATCGAGACCATCCTGGCTAAAACGGATGAAACTCGTCTCTACTAAAAATACAAAAAATTAGCTGGGCGTGGTGCAGGCACCTGTAGTCGCAAGCTACTTCAGGAGGCTGAGGCAGGAGAATCGCTTGAACCGGGAGGCAGAGGTTGCAGTGAGCACGAGGATCCTGCCGCTGCACTCCAGCTGGGCAACAGAGCGAGACTCCATCTCAAAAAAATAAATAAAAAGAAAAAGAAAAACAACAAGAATAATTGTATATACTTTCGATGTACAATATGGTGATTTTATACATTTACATGTGCAGTGACTAAATCAAGCTAATTAACCTAACTATCACCTCACTGACCTTTTTTCTGGGTAGAAACATTTAAAACCTACCTTTTA